ATAAAGAAAGTTAAGATCCTGAGTTGTAATGCTCGTCTTTCCTTTGCTACCAAATTTTATTAATGAATTGCCACTTTGAGCATTCCTTCGATTCAGTGAGAGGATAGTCTTTTCAAGGGGGCATTTGGCATGTCTTAAAAATAATATAGCCAGTAAAGCCCCATCCTACGCAAATGCAAATGCGATCGTGTAATCACCCTATACAGCACGAAAGCTTCTCTGTTGAACAATTTTGTTCTCCTCAGTGATAGCTGACTTAAAAGAATAGGGAAGGATACACTTTTCTGAAAAAAAATCAAACTATTCACTGCGGAAACAAGGATGTTAAGTGCACTTGACTCCTATCGTCTATAAAGAAGCCAGTATAGGTAGCCATGTGAAAATTTGCACGAAAATTGGGCCTACCAACAGTGTTCCAGCAACAAACTTGAATCTGCATTCATAGACTACTCAACCCAATACCAGTGGCTACAATACTATTTTCCACCTATTTGCCTGTCCTGTCCATTCCCATACAGGGGTAGTCTTTATCGTTTAAATATTTTCCGAAATGGTGCCAGACTTGTATAAGACTCCTCATGAACATCGAATCACAAAATAACTGGAATAATCTAATTTTGCATCTGCTAACAACATACTCACTACAATAATCTGGGAGCCTAAACGAGTCCTACTTACCGGTCAAACAAGTCACACGAAAACTTATTCCATACTTTAATGGGCTGAGTTATACTTTTTATTGAAGAGACAGAATTAGTGGACCTTTTGCACCATCTTCGTATTTCTATTCATTTTATGCTTTCTAGCAGTCTCGTCCGTGATTATTTCAGTTAGACTTTAATGTATGACAAACATGTACAGAAAAAGGTGATGAGGAGCCTCAGAACATATCACCTCACATTATTTCGAATCTCACTCCTTTGTGAGAGATCACTTTTTACTCCTTGTTAAAAGATACCCATTTTAATTAATCCTTATGATCGTGATCCTATAGGAAATAGAAAACCTTAGCGTGAGCTAACTCTTTAGTGTTAGCGCCTCTATAATTCACCAGAGCGAGAGTAAGTTCAGTGATTTTCCGTGAGGAGCATTTATATGTAAACCAATGAGCCAAAATTTCTGTTGCTGAGGTTGCCCAGGTGACAGATCCAAATCTAGACAAAGTTAATTTGTGATCTGTGCACAGAGAATAAAATAAAAAACAGAGTTCTCGTTTATTTTCGAATGGGGATACTAGCATAAGTTGCGATATAATGCGCAGCTACACTATAAGACGTAATCTATAAATTCTGTAGGGAAATGAAAATTAGTACAAGGCAGGGCTAAAAGGTGCATAATGAAAAGCTAAGCATGGCTATTGTGACGATTGGGAAGCGTGATGAGTCGAGAATAAGATTTAGGAAGTAGGAATGAACAGAACTGTAGAGGTGATTGCGGTAATGCAAAGGGACTATTCATCCTCACAATCATCGAGTGCCAATTGGCGCATCTATTTGATGCAAAAAACCTGCCAACAAAATTAAACAATCAAGTAAAAGCGTGAAATAAGTTTCGTTTGATTCTGTCGGGCTACGTGGTCCAGAGGAAAATATTGGCTACGTACGAACCGTGGTTATGGGACCCCATAAGAGCCTATTCTGTATCAGCAAAATGTTGCAGTCCTAATTTCCAATTATCAATTATTGTGCATTCGGCCATTCTCTGCAGTCCCAAGCACTAGTTGTTCCAATCCTCATAGCCGCTACCAGAATATTCTCATTCATCTAGAGGCAAGTTTCATACGCTAAGCAGTCGTTGGAGTGAATACTTAAATGCTATGTTGGAAATATATACTATCACGACTGGCACGTTGGTCTTTCAAAAGGCCGCGCATTTGGTGATTCGAAGCTTATAACAACCGTTTCCTTTCCTGCAAGGACCCGATTCAGTTTTTACAGCACAAATAGTAACGGTGCCATTCTTCATACTCCTATATCATAATCGACCTGTCTGAATGCTTCCTTGTTATACTCCAAATTTATTGTTGCTACTTCTGGAAATATGAAAGTTGTAGGCGCCAAGTTACGATTTTATGCTTGCTTCTCCGATTGACTAAATGACTATATTATTAAGGAGGCCTTCATTTCGTATGCAAATGCATAGAGGATAGATTTATACATTGATCTCTCCAGAAGACGATGGCTGAATCCTGCTGTATAACAGCCGTTTGGCTTTACTATGACGTTCTGATTGACGCAGTCCACTTGACATCCTCTCTCCTTTCGGATGGAAACGGGCTGCCTTTTCGTCCATTATAGGATGGACATCATCAGAACTGGAACTAATTCTTGCAACAGTCTCACGTTAACACTAGTTCAAGAAATTCATTCTTGCATGCCTTAACTTAGTGCTTTCTTTCGCATTTATCCTGTTGCTTCCTTGTTTCCTTGTTTCCATCTATTTGGATATGTGAAATTTGCGGCTACTTACCACCCTTTTAAATGAAGAAGCAACATCAGCTTTTATACTTAAAGTTTCTTTCGATTATCGCAAACGTTGTAGCCATATAAGTAGCCAAATAAGAGCAAAACTGCCTAAATTTACCCTTATTTATCTCGTATGTTTTCCGTGTAATCGGGTCCCTTTAAGCATGCATGACCGTTCTCAGCTTGGTTTTCTTTCATTTGGGCATAGGATAGATTGTGTGCATGTAAAACCTGGAAAATCTCTTTCTGCTCGTCCACTATTCAATACTCTGAAGAAGGACTCCGTTAACAACACTCGCTGGACCTGTCGCTTCACCCGCACACCACGTTAAATACACACATGCATACATGCATACACACCGTGAATGAAATAGACCTCCATGCCTTTGTCTACCGGAGAGGTAGATATGCATGAGAAAGCTATCGAGTAGCTGCACACTTAGTTTCGCATTCACGATCACATTTAGCATATAGTGTGGCTTCAGTTAGCTTCTGCCTTAACCCCGAGTAACTCCTACGAAGTGTGCTTTTGGCTTGGTCGCCCAGACCTACCCTGCGCCTCGGTTTCCTCCTCGGACTCTGAAGATGGCACCAATGGAGCGTAAGGCGGTGGTCAAGAATGCTGATATGGAGGATTCCATGCAGCAGGATGCCGTGGAGACGGCGGCAAACGCAATGGACAAACTGAACATAGAGAAGGACATCGCTGCGCACGTGAAGAAGGAATTCGATAGGAAGTATGAGCCAACTTGGCACTGCATAGTTGGCCGAAACTTTGGCAGGTGAGATCTTGCCTAACCCAACCTTCGGCTAGTGTTGCCAAAAATGCAGTGTCTGGAATATAGGCTTCCAGAGCCTGACTTAATAGCTTAAATGTCTCTTAACTAATTCGTGTCATTGAACATCTACTCTCGATTGACGAGCTGGGTGAAGACTACTCGTAACTCGGTTTACACAGCATGGATCGATTTCCTTAAGAACTTCACAAAAAGCCTAAATAAATCATTTGGTTCGGCTGTAATCATAGTCTTATAGCCTCATATTCGAAGCTTTGGTTGGCTTCTTCCTTTTTCCCTAAAGATGCTTTCGCTAGCGAGAAGTGCAAGTTTTGTCAATTGGGATTTTATAAGCATACCCAGACCATGACCAATTGATACTTCTCCTTTACTCGGAGTTTGCCCCTTCCTCCTTTTCCCAATCCTTTCCTATAGCCAAAATAAGCTTACTCTCACTTTCCTACACTATTTTATTCTTTTCATGATGCTATTCGCCTACTAATTGATTGTTCTGCATACTCTAATTTTCCACCTTGCTGTGAAGTTGTGTCATTCCTTGACATTTGTGGCTCAAAATTATTCTATCTGGTCTCCTGTACTAGCAATAAAATGAGCTGCTTTTCAGGAATTTTCTTTCATACTGGTTTTGTTATTTTTTCTCAATTGTATGAGTATGTATATTTGCATGTGTAAGCGTCTATATGCAATGCATCCTCATACAATCGAGCAAGAATAACAGAACCAATATGAAAGAAAATTAACCAAACCACTCTATATCGATCTATCTGTGTTTTTACTTTTTAATCTTTTGGCTCAATTAAGTCTAAATAAGAACTAAGATAGAGCCGGATAGTGTTCTTGCTTTAGTGTTAACGTGAGACTCTTACAAGAATGAAACCAAGCTCTGATGATGTCCATCATATGATGGACGAAAGCTCGGCACGTTTTCACCCGAAACGAGGGAGGAAGTCTCGTTGACTGCGTCAACATAAATATCGTATAAAAGCCAAACGGCTGCAGTACAACGAGTTTCATCCGTCCTCATATGGTGAGATCGACCAACAAATCTTTTCTTCATGCACTATTATTCGAAATGAAGGTCCCCTAACAATGTTATCTCAGGAGATTCATCGAAACTCAGTTTCTCTTCGTATCTAGCATAAAAATAGGCAGAGGGCTAATCTTAATTTCAACATGATTCTACCGTCCAGCACACTTAAGAATCTATATAATGCCTTACCAGCATGTTTCCACTCATATAAATTCGTGGTATTGGTAAAAACTATTGACACGTAATTATTATAATGGATGAACGGTTCTTACCCTGGTGTTAATAATACACAGACTTCTTATTAGCATTGATTTCATAAACTCCCAATTCACTCTATTTCGTTTAATGTGATAAAGAACTGGTAATTAAATTTTCCCACAATGATATATGTATCTCTTATATCTGATTTACTGGTAGTCTCAAAAGTTATCTATAAACGAAAAATAAGTAATATATTTTTCCTATTTAAGTGGAGTTTCGAGACTACCAGTAAATCATCACCCTAAATGAAATTGGGTGAATACATCTCATATAATAAGTAATATAGTTAATTGTTATAACAAATATAAATGTGCCTCATCGAAATTCCAACAGCAAAATATGATATGGGAAAATGCCTGGCCTTCATTGAAATTTACATCTGCCATCTGACCCTAGGAGTACTCGTGGCAATGTGGCGTAGTGGTTAATGTCGAGATTACACGCTGGGCTGTTGTGGTTCGAGTCTCGCTGGAGTTGCTGATGTGAGATCGAAGCTGCAGTCCACTCTTGCGGGGATTAGAATACTTCGTGGGAAGCAAAGATATGTGAGTTTCGATGGAAACGTGAGGTCTATACATAAAATTATAGGCAAATTCAACTACCAGTCTTTCATAACCCTTAGCGAAGTAGGATGAATACGGCTAATATATTAGATTTACT